TTTATATTAGGTTTAATATTTATAGAGTTATAAGGCATTATATTAAGTAGTTATAAGGTATTATATTTCTTAATAGTAAATAAAGTAAGTTAGGTATATTTAAGTAAAGAAGTCTTATTAATAGCTAGTAAGCTAAGTTTTATAAGAATGCTAATAAGTATAATTTATATATTAAGTATATTCTTTAGTAATTAATAAGGTTATTAGGGGATTAATAGTAATCTAGATAAATTAATACTAGTTATAGTAAATTAGCTTTAGTTATAAAGTCTTAATACTAATTATCTTTAGTAAAGGGTATAGTAATTAGTAGAAAATATAGGGTATATATAATAAGACTGCTAGAGTTATAATACTAATAACCTTAATAATAATAGTAAAATAATTATAATAAGTAATAAAAGATTTTAATTTATAATTAAGAGGATAAGTATAAACTAATATAAAGTAAAGACTTTACTACCTCTAAAAGGAATATAATATAAATATAAAATAAGTTAAAAATAAAAAATAAAAATCCTAAGTATCTTTTAATAATAAGACTTATAAAAAAACAAATTAATAATAATAAGCTAGGACTAACTTAAGAATATTTTAAAAGAATATTAAATATATAATAAATAATTTAAAAAAGAATTAAAAATAAGAATCCTTAAATATAACTAATAGAACTATAAAATTAAACTTATAAATAAGAACTTATTATTTTAGAAGATTTATTTATTAAATTAAAGAGAATTAGAAATTTAATAATAATATATTAATAAAATAATTTAAAAAGGGTATATTAGAAAATTAACCTTATTAATAGGATTAGTAATGCTTTTTATATTAAAAAGCAATTAAAAACTATAACTTATTATAAATTATAAAGGAGTTAATATATATATTATTAAAGATTAAACCTTATTTATATTTATAATAGAACTTAAAGATTAATTATAAGGAAAAAAGGTCTTTATAGCCCTTAACCTTAAAGGAATATATAACTTTATTTATATTAAGGAAGGAAATAAATAGAAAATAGTATTTAAAACTAGATTTAAATTATTTAAATACCTAGTAATGCCTTTTAGTCTTATTAATATACTTATAATATTTTAATAGATAATTAATAATATACTTTAATAATACCTTAATATCTTTATAATATATTACTTTAATAATGTCTTAATTTTCTGAAATATTAAAGAAGAATATAAAGAATATATTTATAAGGTCTTAAAAATATTATAAGATATTAAATTATTAGTTAAATTAAGTAAGAGTTACTTTTATCTTAAAAAAGTAAATTTCTTAAGATATATTATTACCCCTAGAGAAATTAAAATATAAAAAGGAAAAATCTTTATAATAGCTAAATAGAAAGTACCTATTAATATTAAAGAAATACAAGCCTTTTTAAGTTTTACTAAGTATTATAAAAAATTATTAAGGATTTTAATAAAATTATAATCCTCTTAACTAAACTAACTAAAAAGGATAAGCCTTTTAATTAAAATAATAATACTTAAAAGGCTTTTAAATAACTTAAAAAAGCAATTTTTAATAAACTAGTTTTAATAATATTTAATCTTAAAAAGGAAATTAAATTAAAAATAAATATATTAGACTTTATATTAAGAAAATAAATTAGTTAAAGAAATAATAAAAGAAGGCTATACCTTATTGCCTTCTATTTATATAAGCTATAAGGAATAGAGGTTAATTACCTAATTTATAATAAAGAATTCTTAATAATAGTTAATTAGTTTAAAGAGTTTAAATATTACTTTATAAAAAGTAAATACTAAATTAAAGTATATATTAATTACTAGAATATTTTATATTTTACTATAATATATAAACTTAATTAATAATAATTATATTATATAAAGTTCTTATATAAATTTAATTTTATAATTATTTACTAAAAAGGGTTAAAAAATAATAAAGCAGATATAATTAGTTAATAACTAAATTATAATACTAGTATTACTAAGGTAAAAGAATAAATACTAGAAAAGAATAAAAAAGGAAAATATTAAGTTACTTAGAAAATATAAACCTTAAGATAGATATAAGTAAAAATAACTAAGGAAATCCTAAGAAAACTATAAAAGTTTATTTAAGAATTCTATATATATTAATTATATAAATACTAAGGAGTTACTAAAACCTTAAAATAATAATTATTATTATAAAGATATTAAATAATATAAAAGGTAATAAAAAAGGTTATTAAATAATATAATATTTATACTAAAATAAGGATATAATAATATAAACCTTATAAAACACTATAACTAATAGAAGTTATAAAATAATTATAAAATTTAATTATTATAAACTTTATAACTAAGTTATTATTATTAAAAGATCTCTTAATTAAAATCTTTTATAATAGTATTATAATTATTATAAATAAACTTATAAAAATTTTAATTTACTTATGTTATAAAGAGGTAATAAATATAGAAGTTATAGCCTATATCTTCTATAATAAGGTAATAAGAAAATAAGGGTTACTAAGAGAAATTGTATTAAATAGAGGGCTAATATTTACCTTTAAATTCTAATAAATACTTATAGCACTTATAAGAGTTAATTACTAACTTATAATAGCTTTTAAACTATAGGCAGATAGCTAGATAAAATAAATAAATTAAGTATTAAAATAATACCTTTAGTATTATATTAACTATAAGTAAGATAATTAAGTTAAAAAGCTACTAAGCGCCTAGCTAGCCTATAATAGTATATATAATAAAAGTATAAAACTTATATTATTTAATATAAATATTAAATTTATATCTAATATATATTATAATACTTAAGAATTAAAAAATATAAACCTAATAGCTATTATTATAAGTAATAAGCTAAGAGAAATATATAATAAACTTAAGATTAAGCTAGAATTTATTAAGAAAAGGATAAAAAGATATTATAACCTTAAAAGGTTAAAAGGACTAACCTTTATAAAGAGAAATATAATTTACTTATTTATTAAAAATATTAAAATAGATTAACTAAGTTATAAACTAGATTATAAATACTTAAGATTAGTTAAGATTAAATAAAGAATAGGGGAAAATTAATATAAATTAAATCTACTTTTAAATACTAGATATTATCTAATTTACTATATCTTAATATTTAAATTAGCTATTAATATAATATATATAAAAACTAATAATAAACTATAATAAATTATAGGACTAAAGGTATATAAAGTAAAGGAAATTAGAGATATAAAAAATATTAATAAATAAAAGATATACCTAATTAAATAGAAAAACTACTTAAAAAGTAAAAATATATAAAAACTAATAAAATACCTTACTAATACTTAATAACTCCTAAAGAACTTTTATTAAAACTTAAAAAAAGATCTAAAATAGTAAACTAATTAATAAGGTCTATTATACTAACTTTAATTAATTTAATTATAATAATAAAATTAGAAGGCATAACTAAATTCTCTGCCTTTTTATATTTACTTATTATTTTAATATCTTACTTAAGAGCTTTTAGACCTTTAGATTAAATAAAATACTTTTAATAGTAAAGATATATTAACTTAGATAAATACTTATTTAATTAATATTATAATTAAATAAGCTCTTATTTAATAGCCTTCTTATTAGCTTTAATATAGTTTTTCTCTTAAATTAAATAATTTACTACTTAAAGAATTAGCAAAATACTATATATAAAAAAAACATATAACTAACCCTTAGTTAAGGTTATACCTTTATTATTATAAGTATAACCCTAATAGGTATACTTAAAGTAGTTCTTTTACTTATTTTTTATTATATATTTAATATAATTTTTAATATATAAAAAATAAGGTATAATTTTATATCTAGTAAAAGCAATAAGTTTTATATAAGTAAGATAATATTAAGTTTCTAAAAATAATATAATTAATATAAGAATAATTATAAAGTTAAGTTTTATATATTAAGGAGGAACTAATACTATAATAAATAAGCAAGGTCTTAAAGATAAGATTAAGAGAAAGGAAAAATTATATTATAATCCTAGTAGTTATATTATATATACCTTATATTTTTCTTTTAATTATAAATAATTACTATATACTAGGAAATTCTATAAGTAACTACTAAGACCTAGTTACTAATACCTAACTAAGAATACTAGTAATTCTTAAAATTACTAGTAATCTTAAGAATTACTTAATAACTACCTTTTTAAGTAATAATTATATTTAAGTATATAAAATATATTTATTAATACCTTTATAAAACTTAGCTTACTAGCTATTAATAAAGTATCTTTATATTAATAAGCCTAATATATATTATTTAATTATTAAGAAATATAATACTTTATAAATGCTTAATATTACACCTTATGCAATTTATAAATATAAACCTAGTATACATTAGTTAACCTATTTAGAAAACCTAACTATTATAACGAGGTAAAAAAAACCTAATTATAAAAAAGAAGGGTAATAATAGTAACTAGAGGAAGGCAAGTAATTAATAAGATAAATACTAATAGGGAGGTATAGGGCAAATGATTAAGAAGTAGTAGTTAAGGAAGGTTAATATAAATAAAGGAAAGGCATTATAGAGGATATAGTAAGACTAGGTATAATATAAGAATATATTAGATAGTTATTATAATACCTAGGGAAGAGTATAGTAATTAATTTTAATTAATTTAATAATTTTTTATATTCTTATAGTAATTTCTATTTTAAAGGTTAAGATATTTTAGGATATATGCTTATCTGGGATATAAGCTTATTATGCACATTACTGTCTTTATAAATTAAGCTTTCAGCGGAGGTCCACCACCACTAACGGGCACTATATTAGAACAACGATGGGAATTAAGGTTACTGCGGGCCCGCCTTGAGGCACAAAATCCGTTGTGCCAAGGACCGTTGGTCAGGTTCAGGTTCTTCTATTCCTACTCGGTTTTAGCCGCTGTTCCCCAGCAGTCATGCCTGGTAAGTGGGGTTTGGCTGGCAGCCGAAGCGCCCCAGATGTTTATCAGCGATGCGCCACTTCGCCTGCGCCATTTAACGCTTGGCCAGCTGTCTCCAAACTTCCCTCTTTGTCACATTTGACGAGGGATTTTGACTGTGCGTTGAAGCTCTTGATTTCTAATTGGATGTGTGACTGAAGTTAGTATGTTTTATACCTCCTTGGATCGGATCGTATTCGTCAACTATGACGAAGTTTTCCTCACGATCTGTTTCATCCAAGTTTTGATCCTCCTTGGTCATACAGCCCGTGTGTCAGAGGGGCCTTAGTGAGACAATGTGACAACACCTAGTCGCTATTTTCCTCGCCGGATGCACCGGGCTCTTTCTGGGCAACCGCGTCTGTCTGAATAGATATTTCTTGTGCCACCTGGTCCATCATTCCAAGAATATGCTCATCGCTGTCCCATGCAGCACCTTGAGGGATTGAGTGTAGATTCTTGCGCGTTTTGCGTGTTAGGTCGCAGTCGCCGCGAACTTCCCTGCTTCTGAGAGAATAACTGTGCGCTGCGCGAGTCGACCTGCTGAATAGGGCGCTGAGTCCTACTCTATCGGCACATTTTCGAACGAGAGGCTGTACGACGGGTAGGTTGGTAACAATCACAGAGACGAACGTTTCCCGGCATGCCCACTGGCTACCAGAGATTGCGCCTTCAGGACCAGCCTAGAAGATGACGTCATGTTAGGTCCATCTCATCTCATGGTAGTCCCCTGCAATGGATCGGTGCCTTACAGAAAGGATGACGACAGCACGGATTATGGCAGCCATGATCACAAAGATAGCTCCACTGAATAGCACCATCAAAGTGAGCTTTCTATATAGACTGATGTTCACGGTCCAGAGAAGCTGTCGCAGATGTAAGCTAGACATGCCTATCTATAGAGGGCAGGGGATGTGATTTGACGTACCGGTAGAGGGATGGATAGCAAATACAGGTCGGTGATAACGTTGGGTATCACCACCACCAAGACGTAGAGCCTTGATATGGTCGGTTGACAAAGATCTACCGAGGTCAATACCGTTCAGAACTCAACAAGTTAAGGGTAGCTTACTCCCAGGATCTGGATATATTTGCCAGTACCGTTCCATGGGTTGACATCCGAGCAGGATCGAGAGCGCCACTGCTACGTATGTCCCTCCCAGCAGTACATATGCAATTCGCACGCGCATTGTCAAGTGGGCCAAACCGGAGCTGTGTAGTGCCTGGTCAGCTTCCGGAATAATCAGCGTGGGGCGGTATCCACAAACGTTAGTCGCGAATAGAAAACCGCGAGGCAGACTTTCAGAGACCATAGAATGAAGACATAGAAAGACCATCCGATAACCTGGATCTTGGATCCCCAAACACGGTCGCTATATTCCTTCGAGTCCGGGCTCAGCGCAGCGCGTTGTTCATCGGTCATATAGCTGTTTGTGAGGCCTTCAAACATCGCACCGACGAGATAAGCGGCCGCTGTTTCAAGCGTGAAAACCACCTGTGTCGAGGAAATCTTCTGTTAGCTTACCCTCTGAGATCAGAAAGGGACCTGCATTCGCCCGAGGGATCCAAGGTAGTTACGTACACCGGTCACAGGCATGAGATAATCATCAAGTTGCCAGCCTGAGAATCCAACCTGCGTCCATCGCACCCACATTCGCATGCCGATAAACCAGAGGCCCAATGCAAGGAGAGTCCAAGCTTCTGGATCTGCCATCGTGACAGGGTCTCGTTCAAGCGTCTCTGCACGTCGCTATTACAGGATCCAGAATGGGCTCGGCAAAAGGGAGAGCTATTGCAAACAAAGGACTAGATTTTCTGATGAGAAAAGCCAGGGCTAAGGGGCCTTACGTAGTCCTTTCACGTCGTGTATGGGAACCTGTTATGCCCATCATGGCATCGCTTCAGGAGCTTGAGTCGTTAGATATAAAATCATCAAAAACAGAAACTACGGCAAATGCCGTGATCAGGTCGATCAAAATGCGGGCAATAAGTTGGTGGCGTGAAAACCCTGCGGATGTGGCGTTCTGCTGCAGCATCGGCGCCAGTGCATTAACGCAAGTGTGAAGGTTATGGAACAGGCTTCCGACCGCGAGAAGACAAGTAGATTACCCCATTATCAGAACTCTAAAAAGCACATTCAAGGAATATGTTTAGCAAATAGCTCTGTGCACTATCAAGCCAGGGCTGAAAATTCGAACAAAATGCGGAGAGGGAGAAAAAGGCGCTAGTCATGCATGCATTGAATGGTTTCATGTCGCAAGGCGGGCAGGGCAAATGTTAACGGTACAATTCTGCGTCATCGACGCTCGGCCCCTATTGTGGGCCTGCCCTGACAAATTAGATGCAATATTTAACAAGCCCCGCAAATCGGATATGTTTCCACACACAATTTGATTGATCTGTCTGCTTGAAAAGCTTGAATGCAGATCCCTCTATAATTACCTGAGGGTGGTCCAATCGATGAGCATTGGTGTCTGCCGGACCCCTACGCTAGCTCGATTTTCCAGCTGACTCGGGATCGTCGCTGGGCGGAAGCCAATGTTCTGCTCTACTGGCTTCCGATTGGTATTTAGAGTTTCACAGCAGGTCACTACAAGGAATAGGTTTCGACGGCATTAATCAGCTTTCATGTGACCTAATACAGGGATTTCTCGGGTTCTACCTTCCCAGTATGGCATTGTCAGATCAGTTGTTCTCGCTCTCCAGCCAGCCAATTATCAATCTGGAGCCGCTTTCTTTTCCACAGCTCATAGAATTCTCGTATTGTCTTAGTAGTGAATACTAAAGCGAACACATATGATCTAGGACTTGGCCTTGGCTTCTGCAAGGCACTTACTCGCTGGCGTCGTGACTCAAGGAGCTAAACCGGTTGCACCAAAAATGATGACACAGCCACGAGAGGATTTGTGACAGCAAAAACGCCCGCACTATCTTTAGGCGGAGATCGGAAGAAAAGTATAAAACAGACCTGGCTTGGGTAGGGGGAACCCCTGGCGAGGATCACACCTCTCCTCTTATGCACACGACAACTGTCTGGGAGACGAATAGAATCTTTTCTAAAGAGGGCTTCGCGATATCTTAGAAGTCGACTGTTTGTACCGAATGCCGGAAGTAAAAGCGAAACTCGGGCTCCGCTAAGGCCGTCTCGTTCAGGCGAGAGCTATAGCAGCGCTCCGAACAAAACAAAACACTACCAAATCAAACTAATATAAATCAATATAAAACAAAGCAAAATTGAAGCTATTGAAAACAATACTAGCCACCGTTTTATATTGGTAATATTAGTATATTTTGTAAAAGTGTATGTTTTTCGTCTAGGAGCCATCGGCCCCGAAAAGTCCCCTACTGGGGCACAGGACGTGCTGAGCTAGGGGTCTCTATCTATGATCTAATTACAAGATGTTATTGGCATGGAAGAGGCTTTGTCGTTCGCGATGCGAAATTAGACTTCCCCGTCAAGCGCACTTTCTGCAAGACACGATAACAGACCACACCATCCAGCATATCATCGGCACAAACGGCGGATCGTATCGAGCCTGTTACCCGTCAGCGGGATGACCAGGCGCGGCTGAGAAACAGCAGCCACAAGACAAGCCTGTTATCAGGGAGGCTGTGGTAGGCCTGTAGGCGAGACAACCTGGGGTTGCCCTCGAGTGGTCTCGACCAGATGAAGGGCGTGACAGGGCCCTTCATCTGGTCGAGCCCGAAAGTGTTGAGAAGAAATGACAAAAGAAAATGATGCGAAGAAGAAGGAAAGGAAGAGGGATGCGAGTGTGTCCCGAGTCAGTCTCGTCTAGTAGCGAGGGCAAATCCTGTCGAAGAAGGCGCTTATTCTAGACAGTTCGGTAAACTTAGTGAAGTCTTTTCCTATTGCGAGGTTGACAGCTGCATTCGGTGAGGGAGCGAGCACCATCCGATGGCGCGGCGGTACCTTTCTATAGTAGAAGATGTGATCCGGTGCTTTGCGTCAGTTGCATGAGCAGACCAGTCGTGTATCGCTATGGTCGAATCTCTCGTGGTATGAGGCAAAGTCCCCGTAGAGGGACCTCGCTGCGAGCAGATGGTGCAAGACTGCATGTGGGAGCGAGAGCTCCGGCGGGCAGGCTATGGTCTCCTTGAGATTGAGTCTCTTATACTGCCCAGGGGCGATGGTAGGCCACTAGGTCTCGAATGCTTCTTTCGGTTTCTGTCTTGCGATCCTTCGCAAGTATGCTAGCGTTAGCTAAGCCTAAAGGGGCTCAGGGAGTGATGCTGCTGCTTTGGCCAGTTTATCCGCTTGTTTGATGCCAGGAATGTTAGTATGGCCTGGTACCTAGCGCACGTGTATGGCCCCGTGCGCTGCAGCTAAGGCCTGGAAGTCGAGGAAGACTCCTTAAGTGTGGACCAGAATATGGTGATGTTATTGTATCGCAGGGTAGGCATGATCTTCACGGCCTCAGGAAACAACTGCGTTAATAATCTAGCTGTATACTTTAAGTAACTCTGCGGATTGGAATACCCCGCACGAGAGACTACTTAAGAAAAACAATCAATCAGCACATTTTGCTGCTGCTCACCACATTCACTTTTGCTCACCACATTCACTTTAATCCTTTAAGCACGCTCAGTGCGACATATTGATTGTGGACTTGATTTCTTTGATCAGTCTGCCAGGGAGGGGTTGGTTCAATTCCCCCTCCTTTACCGGATACAAGAATAATATTGTGATAAAGGAAAGTGGAGCCCATTCCCAGTCGCCAATCTAAAAGTAGTTTGGCCCCCCTCCCCCCCGGCGACGCATCGTCATTAGTCCGTTCCCGTAACCCCAGATTATAGTTTAGCCCAAACTACCACCGGCCTCTCGGTTAGGCGCTAACTGACTTATGAAGATTACCGGCAGTTTAGTGCTAACCACATTTATTTTTGATTAACGACGTTGAAAGGGATATCCCTGCAAGGCAGGGAACCCATCCGGCGAATATTTTTCTACTAAGTACGACCTGCCACTTGTGGTTCATGCGAGTGACTCGTCACCCCGCCAGATCAATTGCCGGCCGCAGATCACGATCTATTGAAGTCTGGATCCCCACCCAGAAGCCAACAGTCTGGTCCGTGGGCCGATCCTGCACTAACGATCGTGAGAGTTGACGCCGTCTCCTCTAGCGGTGTTTATCCCAATTACAGAATTCGTCGCGGCTTTATTCAGGCACAAGACGTTTGGCATGTGTCCAGCTCAATGCCGGGGAAGCTGTACGCGTATACCGACCAGTGAAGTTCGATTTGTCGATCGGGTTCAAATTACCGATTCCCTAACTCCCATGACACTCCTGCGACCAAAGAGGAGTTGTTACATAAGGTCGGCCAGACAATTCTACCTTCTACGACCTCCCCCCACCAGTTTCTTGCTTTTGTACTCAGTCCATTTCGCTGCTTTGCCGCCCTGATAACACCAGGACTTGTCATGGATCTCGCTTCCATATACTTCGGGCTCTTTTTGGGCGTTTTTGTGTTTACTTTTGCAAAGGCCGTGCAGCAGACTCGCGGCATATGGAGACGTACGCAGAGCCTTCATCATGGCTACCTATACATGATCTGGGTTGAGGCATGGGTAAATTTTGTATTCGCCCTCGTCACATTCTTGTACCTGAACGATATCGTTCCGGGAAGGTAGGTACTAGTCATTCGGTGGTCGCATTCAGCGTCAATGTTAACTGATGTCTTCAGTGTCGGGTTCTACTTATTCACTGGTAATGATCAATGGGATAGGAATCGTGTGAGAAACGTTTTGGCTAACAATCATGCAGTGGCACTATGGGCAATCCAGACGCAACTCTTGCCCCAAATCATTGCCAATCGCGTTGCTTTGATCATGACCAACAAGCGCAGAGCCAGAAAGCTGAAATGGGGCCTCGTGCTTGCTATCGGGTGCATCAATATCGCCGTTGCCTACATATGGACTGTCGCGCACCTAGATGGAGCTACACCTTTTCAGATTCATCTTAACCTTGGGTTCGAAAAGGCGGAGAAGTCTTTCTTCCTCGTCGTTGATCTAGCGCTCAACTTATACTTCTTGTATTTGGTGCGATTCCGCCTGATTGCCGATGGTTTGAGCAAGTATTGGAAGCTCTTCAACTTCAATGCTGGTATGGTAGTTGTGTCAACCTCTATGGATATTCTGCTCCTTGGCTTCCTGAGCTTGCCAGACCCCTACTTGTGAGTTTCTGACTACTGTAAACCTTCCATCTTGCTGCCAACAGCCAACTGACTCTCCTCACGCAGATACGTCCAATTCGCCCCTCTCGCATACATAGTCAAGCTGTACATCGAGCTCCTCATGGCCAATTTGATCTCCAAAGTCGTGAGGAGTGGTGCGGCTGGGCGAGGAGATGGCTACCGCGGAAGTAGCTGTCACAAATCTAACCCAACCAACTATATCACTTCCCGTGTTGTCATTAGCGGCAGTCACGCCATGCCAAAGTCGGGTAACACGATTTTGAGTAAGTTGGGAAAAGACGAACGACTTGGTCAAGGCAGCTGTGGCTCAGAGATACATCTAGCCACATATCCTGGCCCACATGGCATCACGAAGACAGTCGAGACTACAGTTGCGGTGGATGATGTCGATGATGGTCGCCGCAGCGATACCACATCTACGGTGACTGTATAAGAAGGCTGTATGTTTAATAATCTCAGTTGCCGGTCTTATTTCTATGCAACGAGAAGAGAAGAAGTTCATATTTTCTGCTACTATATAATACAAAATAATAAGTCCCCAGGGCGGTTATGGGTACCCCCGTTTTGGTTCACCCCATCATGTCACCAGCCCAATCAAGTATAGAACCACAACTACTACAATTTAAAGATTAAGTTGCTCAATCGCTCTCTTCAACGGAGGGAGTTTTATTTTGCCTTGTGCGCCTAATTGACCCTCCCGGTTGTACTGAAGATGGCTCCTCATCAGCACTGCCATTTACCTCTTCACTATGAACCACAATCGTAGCCTCCTGGGCCCTAGCCTCAGTAGTGCGTTGAACTGGCTCACGGTTGCGTTGTACACCTACCTGAGCAAGACTAATAAGGACTCGTTTAGATTTGGTCCGACTCTTCGACATTTTCGTGGATTGGTCCTGTTCCAACTGCATAATTATACATCACCCAGCTTCTCGACATGAATTGTTTCATAGCCCTCGGATGCACCGACAGCAAGAACCAAAGTCTGCCACCCCTTGCTAAAATCATCAAGGACAAATGTCTTGGAATATTCTTCCAACAGTCCGCCGTTTCGCTTTCCGCATCCGCTGCTTTCACGTACTTCGGATATGAGGCTCATTCTCATGCGCTGCGGTTCAGAAGCTCGGGACCTTTTGCACCTCGCCTAACTCCAGGTACTCAGTTATGGCCGGGCAACCCTTCTCACAATGAGGATCACTACGTATGGCCCAGTCAGCCTATACCACTTCTCCCTGGGCCGTTACGTCGCCTTGTTCCGTGGGAGGATAAAATAAAGCCATCGAAGTTCCCGGAAGAAAAGTATCACCTACTCAGGCCGGAATCGAGAGTCTTGTCCCCCCCAAAAGAAAGCGCATTCCGGAATCAATGTATCACCATACCCAAGCCGGAAATGGGAGCCATGACGCCAAAGAAGGAGGCCAAATTCAGGAGGATGCAAAAATTGTGGTGCGACGTAGACGTGTCACTAACTGTCTGGTCCTCAGGGTGGAGGGTTGTGCAATGCGTGCGGCTTGAGATGCACCAAGGCACGCAAGGAGAATCTGAAGAAGTGATATAGCCTCAGATATGAGTAGATATTTTTATGATTGGATCAATTGATACCTAACGTACTTTCACCATCGACTAAGGATATATCAATACACAAATTGAATACAATATGAATCCCACGACTTCCTTGATGACCCTGTTTAAAACGTCACCACCACAGTCATCTGAGGTGGCTTCTGGGCATAGACACTAAAGCTGCCAGCAAAGTCAGCAGTGTTCTCTTCATAAAACAGGCCCTGGTGCGTACCTTTCAAACTCCATGTCCTCCGCTAGTTCCTCTCTCATGCCGATGGCTAAGAGCTCAATCTCAGGCAAAGTGAAGCCCAATCCCTCATAGAGCGGAAGCATGATCTGGTCCCGAATGTCAAAGTCATACAGGTCCGCCGTGGTAAGCCCGCACTGGGATGCAGTCCGACAAACATATGTGGTATCAATATTGGAGAAACCTACGTCTCGGATCAAACACTTGACGAGGTTAAGAGTGGGAAACATCCGATTTGTGCGCCGTCCCACATTGCGCTCCAGGCGCTCCCACACCATCCAGGCCTTATGTTGGTGTCGAGGCTTAGGTTTAAGCCAGGTGAACTCGATCCATCCTCCTGGTTTGAGAAGTCGGCGTGCGTTGCGGAATAGCCCCCCAGGATCCTCGCTCCACACAAGCTGCCGAAAAAAAATTAGATCCGCCATGCTCTCCTCAGAAGGGAGAGCCAGATTCAGGTCTTCTCGGATTTTCTCAATGTTCGGCAGGACGTGTTATGGCATGAAAGGGGATTTATCTACGGCGACGACATGTGAGCCCTGGTTTTGCATCGCGAAATACCTGAGAGCGGTTAGCCTGTGCTCATTTGTGGCGGATCTGATGATGCATGTTCCACATCGACCAAGTGCAAGTGCCAGATCCGATATCCATCACCCGCCGAGGATGACTGGTAGGGCTCCTGTAAAACTTTCCATCGTTTATCGTGCACCAAAGCAGGTGACTAGACGGGTCAGCACTGTTAGTATTATAATTCCATTCTACTTAACTCACAACAGTAGCGAAGATTTGTGGGCCGTGGCATCGACAGGCTCCCTGTTGAAGTCAGATCGAGCGCTGGATCTCGGGAAACGCTCTCACCATGCACCCTCAACATTCTCCGGCACTGCTCTGCCTCCTAGTAGTAAATTTCGAAGTATTCTGACGGAACGTTCGCATATTCGCTTGATTCCGAGTCGTCCGTGTCCAAATCTGAGGGCGGCGTAGGCGGATTACTTGCTGACGTAGCTGAGAAGCTCAAGCTGGAGGACGATGATGCATCGTCATCTAATTCATGGAGCCAGTTCTGTACTTTGTACATCGCTTGTTCGTTGTCATGTTTGGGCGATGAAGCCATATTGGGGTTTCGAGTAGTAAGGATAGTCAAAATAGGTTGTGCCATGGGAAATTCTTCGCGAACCACGGGAAAAGGATTGGGGCAGGCAGGGTGGCTTGCATCAGTGCCAGGCATGTGCCAAAGGTGTTCCCGGCAGCCAGGGGTTGCGGGAAGTCATTGAAATGAAGAATTAGATTACTCGCCTCCGAGCCAGGATAAGAGAATATTGGTAGTGCCTAACATCCACGACACGTTACCATCAGCATTCTTTCCTTCTGTACCTGCATGTTGAAATGCAACGACGGAAAACTCCTCAAGCCATGAAGTCTACGCGAGACAGGAGTTTCACATGTTTGTGATTGTTTCTTAAAGGGAAAGATCTTTGCTTAGCATTAGGATTCAGCTCGATTCGGGGCATTTTTAGACTTCCCCATATTCCTCGTAACTTTGTCTTAATATAGTAAGTGCGACCACAGATCAGTCAGTTAACTTAGCCTACTAAGAGACTCAGAGTCCTTCTACGCGGAACCTGGATTGCCTGCACGGGTGGCTGACACTCATGATGCACGGCATTGCAAGCCGGCAAAGCGATCATTCAGGGGAGTGTCTCGAAGACCATTATGAGCGTATAATTTACGGCAAGCACATGATGTCTACACATATGAACACATGTGAATGGCCGAATTGTTGCTCGTATCAACGCGATACCGAATATGGCCGAGTACTCTACACGCCGTCAGTGGACAACGTCGAGCAATTTCCACTTTGGGCGATCAGGCGACTCATCACCAAAGAAAAAGGGTCATTTGCGCTCAGACTACCTCGTATTCCCTGGACTTATTATAAAACAGGACCTGTTGTTGCCAAAAGGGGGTTGAGATGCGAACCTCTCGCACGTGTGGTGCAAGACGACTCGACAACATATTACTCCGTATTAGCAGCAGCTAACCCTTGTTTCCCCCCCCCCCCCCTCTCTCTCCACATTGTTTGGCTACCCCGGATTGATCGGCAAAGACCCCTGACTAGCGGCTCTTACAACTGCCGAACCAATTCCTGACCCTTAGTTAGCCGCATATTTGCAGGCTATGCCGCTCAGAGTAGGGCTTGCGAACGAAAAGATTCACATGGTGTGAAGCTCGCCTCGGCTGGTCGTCCCGAGGTTTGTCATGCGAAACAGCGTCTAAGTGTGCAATGATGAGAAACAACTCGTCGTGATGGGTTTCACGATTCATCATCTCGACGGGCATAAATATACCGGTATTGTCATCGGAGGTTCGCAGTTTTTTCCTCCTACCATCAATGATCCGAGGAAGGCGAGAACTCATTGCTACATCGCCTTCTTTCTCATTGAGTATTCAGACCTCCCGGCATCATGCGTCTAACTCTCCTCAACTTACTGGTCGTTTGCTGCGCCGCGCAAGACTTTCCTGCGCCAGCACAAACAATCCAAGAACGGGCCGACAAGACCGCGACAGTTACCATCTCATCTCCAGATGCCACGATCCTGGGGAAAGTAGCCAACGGCGTTGAATCGTTCAACGGCATCCCTTTCGCGGAAGCCCCTACCGGACAGCTCAGGCTGAGACCACCTAAGCGAGTAGAAAACTCCTTAGGCGAATTCGACGGGACTCGGCTTGCGCGAGCATGTCCACAGATGCTTTTGTCAAGCGAAAACAAGAATTTTCTTTTCAAAATTGCTGGCGACCTCTCCAACCACCCCTTCTTCCAAACCGTAACGGGCCAGTCCGAAGACTGTTTGAGCATCACCATCACGCGCCCAGAGGGCACAAGCCAAGATGCAAAGTTGCCCGTTTTGTTCTGGATCTACGGAGGCGGGTTTCAGGTATGTGCTGTTGTATTCCCATTATTGGTTCCGATTGAAAGAGTAATGCTAACGTGACTTACAAGTTTGGATGGTCATCTATGTATGATGGCACAGGTCTCATTAAGCACGGTCTCGACATGCGGAAACCATTTATCTTCGTTGCCATCAACTACCGAACCTCCGGTTTCGGCTTCATGCCCGGAAAGGAAGTCCTCGCCGATGGAGCTTCCAATCTCGGTTTACTCGATCAACGGATGGCCTTGGAGTGGGTCGCTGATAATATCGAAGCCTTTGGTGGCGATCCAAGTTTGGTGACCTTATGGGGCGAGTCAGCCGGAGCCATATCTATCCTGAATCAGATGGCTCTTTACGATGGAGATAATACCTACAATGGCAAGCCACTTTTCCGCGGGGCAATTATGAACTCAGGAAGCATAGTCCCCGCCGACCCCGTTGACTGTCCTAAAGGGCAGGAAGTCTACGATAAGGTTGTTAAAGAGGCCGGCTGCAGTGGTGAGGAGGATACTCTCAACTGTCTTCGTGAGGTTGACTATTCGACTTTCCTCAAGGCTGTTACCTCAGTACCCGCTTTCCTATCATACAATTCCGTGGCTCTCTCCTATCTTCCTCGGCCTGACGGGAAGGTCCTCACTGAAAGTCCGGAAATCCTTGTTGGGAGCAAGAAATACGCAGCGGTGCCCATGATCATTGGCGACCAAGAAGACGAGGGCACACTACTCGCTATTTTCCAGCCTAACTTGACTACCACGGAGGATCTTGTCCGCTATCTGAAAGACCTTCACTTTCACGGCGCGAGCGAAGCTCAGCTTACCGAGCTTGTCAAGACATATGACGAAGGTATATCCGCGGTGGTCAACGGCAGCCCCTTCCGCACTGGGCCATTGAACGAAGTGTTCCCAGGTTTCAAGCGCCGAGCAGCGCTGCTAGGGGACATTGTCTTTACCCTATCACGAAGAGCGTTTCTAACGCTAGCGAATCTCGCGAATCCCACAACTCCATCATGGTCATATCTCGCTACCTACAACTTCGGGACGCCCATTCTCGGTACCTTTCACGCATCGGATATCATACAAGTCTTTTTCGGAATCTTGCCCAATTATGCCAGCCGCAGTATCCGCACCTATTACATCAACTTTCTCTACGACCTGGATCCAAATAGTGGTATCAATGGGAAGTACCCGAATTGGCCGCAGTGGGACCAAGGCCAGAAGCTTATGAACTTTGAGGCGAATCGAGCTAGCCTGATAAATGACGATTTCAGGAAGTATAGCTACGAGTTTCTTCTTCAGAATGCACAAAGCTTGTATGTCTAAAGGATGGGATGCGTCGTCACCTGGCCTTGCGGATGTAGAAGCCAGATAGGAGTGTCTTCGAAGGTAGTTGATTGGTAAAACGTTCTGGTTATCTTGTTGCGCAGTTTTGTCTCTTCTTCTTCTTCTCCTCATATTTTTTACTTAGAATCACGCTCTGCTTATATCCAATTCAATTGAAGTGATTCTTTCCTCCTCGCTACATGTAGAATGATGTACTCTTCTGGTGATTCACTCTGTTGCTGGGAAAAGCAACACCAATATATTGATACATCTCTTCGCCTGCGGTGTCTGGAGAAGGACCTCCTCCACCGTATTTCCCATCCCATATCCTACCAGACTAGATGCAGTGGTGGTGAGCCAGTGGTGGTTTTTATGGTCAAGCTCAACTTGACAAAAGTGCTCAATTAGTCTTGTGCTTGCATATTGTCTCATTGTTAGCACCAACATAGTTACGAAAGGATATTTAATGTTATTTCATTTTGGCTAGATGAACAACTTGGGTTTAGGGTATCTATGGAGGTACATTCCAGGCAAGAACTTACAGGACTTTCCATCGCCATTTACTACGAGCCAGCACCTATAAGGCTGCGGAGATCGTTCTTAATGCATCGGAATACCCCATTCTCTCATACCTCCCCTGGTATCAATCCGTTGGGGTGCATGGCCTTTGATCTGCTTGTACGTCCTGTCCTTTGTGGAGCGTTGTGCGAAGACCGACCATGTCCCTTTTCACCGGATGTGGGGGCATTTGTGAGACTTTGAAGGACTATTCAGAGTATCCTCACCCACGGATTATCTATTCCTCGCCTTTGAGTATGGCAATCTGTGCCCGCAGTTCCCGGTTGCCTTGAATTATATCCTCCAACCAATCCGCCGCAATGAATAGCGTTGTACTCTTGATATACTTGTCCGTCCTCAACTCAGGTACCAATTGGCGAAGGTCTTCAAAGCCTTGCTGAATCAATGCTCGACGTTTTTTCTCGCCTTGAATGTGGTTCTCCTTCTTTTCTCGATCAGTCAGTTTTCTGTTCTGGCCGCGTTTCTTACCACCGTTCTTTCGCCCTTTTGTCCTGCCGAGGCTCGTTGGGTGGGCTGCCTTCCGCTCTTTCGACACTTCCTGTACGTCTGCCTTGGCAGCAGCTGAGTGCTGAGGACCAGTTAGGGTATTTGACCGGGGAGAAGTAACACTGCCGCTAATGTCAAAGATCCGGAGACACCTCATTTGCTCTTTTCTCTTTGTGATTGTCGGGGGCGTTGCGGAACGAATCGTGGCGAAGGCCTCACCACCGTATCGGGGGGTAGTCTCGGTTGGGCGTCAAGCTCTTCGATCGAGATGTCGTTTCGAACTTGGGCGCATGTTTGCGCCGCTGATGGCTCATTCTCTGCCCATGATGCAATGATGGGTTGAATCGTCGCAGTTGCCCAATCATCAAAGGATGGGTGGTTATAGCTCTGAGCCGTCGTGCCAAGCCCACCTTAGTTCATCTCACGGCCCAGTCTGATTCCATTCCCGCTACCGATGTTGCACATAGGGCATGATCGGATCGAAGAATCAAGGCCACCAAATGTTGACCAGATGTTCGAGGCGTGACATTCTTAGTCCTCATTAGTCCAAAAAAAAATCAACTCACAAGTCGCAGACTCGGTCCATATCATACCGCACAGCGTTAAATATCCCTCAGACGGCGGGTCTGATATGGTCATCGCCACGACGGAAGAAGATAATGTACTTCTTCACATCCCGCAAAACTCAAAGTGAAGTTCGAAACGTTGTAAGTAATTGTTTGCCTGAGTTCGCTCGGAGAAATGGACTTGAATAGAAAGGTTCCAACTGTGGCCTCGAACGAACGACACAGGATGGAGAGGAACAACGAGAGAAACATTAATTAAAGCTAGCGCGTTAAAACGCGTCACCACTAACTACCGATCCATGCCAAGAGGTTGCAGGCCTCAGGGGTGGTAAAACTTAGAGTTGGCATGGTTCGTGGCCACCCTTGGTATTGAAGTTGTCTGTCTCAGACATGGTCGCCCTGCATTAATCGTCACGGCCCGCACTCCGCAGGTCTGCAAATACGAAATACCTGATTTGAAGCATGTTGTCACCAGCCGAGGAATGCGCGAATAGCATGTGAATTATGACAGGGATCTGATCATCACCCATTAGCGGACCGCGGAAGGATTACGCACGATGTAACTTCGCGATGCGATAGTTAACAAGCCACTACTGTATTATTGTCGTTCCCGCTGTAGATCCCCCTGTTGCGGTCGTGCAGACCACGGGGAAACTGTCATTCCCGTAAAGCTCTTTCGATCTCCAATACACTCTTGTGATCGATGGGGCAGCCGAATGAGGTGCGATGGGTTTGTATTGCTAGTTACTGCGTTTTCACATTTGATGGCATGTGGACCATGGGGCACATACGAAAGGACCTTGTCGTCTCCGCGTTAAAGTGGGTCTGGAGCGTTGTTTTCAGGCGATCACAGGCGTCTTGCCCGACTTCCAGAGACACTGTTGGCATAAATGTGCCGCCACTTTTGCTGAGGAGCCGAGAATCATAGTGTAGTTGGGCGTTGGACACAGGTTATCGAGGCGCTGGCAAACCTGTTTGCAGAGTGCTTGACTCGTCTTCTTTTGCTGATTCTCCATGGTTTCGACCACAGTTCTGCAGTCTCTGTTACGTAATTTGCGATTTCCATGACCTCACTAGCATGCCGAGCTTAATAGTGACTGTTCGAATGTACATCAAAATACAAGAAAATAGTATGGAGAATGGAGTGAGTGCTTCTCAAGTCCACGAATGCAACTTTCCATAATGCGTCGTGCCGTCAGAGTTCTCTCGTCAAGGTGGTCGGCACCATAACTTCAGATGGTGCAGTGCTACCAGTAGTCTGTTCAATGTGCTAGAAGATGGTTCTTGTCGAAGGCGCCATCAGGGAAATGAGAACCCTCCTGGAGCTTGCTGACAGAAAGTGCCCTTTGCCAAGATTATCACCGGAGATTGGAGGCAGGCACGTCGTTTACTGCCTATTAACTGAAAGGGCTACGAACTAATAAGCCTGAGGGTTATTTAACCATAGAGCTGCTCTGACAGCTGCTGTCCCGAACGATCTCGGCTCTTATATCGAGAAAAAGGTAATTGGCGCCTCTCTATTTGGCTACACAAAGGACAAGCAGTACGAGGATCAACTTACAAACCATTCAAGCGATCGCATGCGAGTCTGGTGCAACGATTGAGTCCTGGTTTGCGGCGGTTCCCTCATTGTCATCGTCCCCAATTTATTTTAACATGATCAAGCCACAAGGCCAGCTAGAACTTTCCCGGTGGAGCAGATGAAGAAGGGTTGTTAAGTAGGTACCTATCACCTGGGGGACGTGGCGTGGGTGTGGGGTTAATGGCGAAGCCGCATTCAATACAAATCACTGCTGGCTCTGGTGAATTGTACCGGTAGTACAAGCCGAGATTCTCGAGCTTTTGAAGCTGACTCGGCCGCAATGTAATAATCGCCTCCGTGCACGTCGCGAGGTCTGCCATATTGATGAAGCTGCGAAGACACTAAGAGGATAGATTGCTCTCTGTGAAGTTACGCTTATGCAAAGAAGAGCACTTAATTGCTGCTCCCTCAGTCGACTCAACTCAAATCACTACGCGCTATAGCGCCCATGACCGTAGACTTCTACATGGTCGGCACGGCCCCTCGCGGGAGAAACGCGGCGCGTTTCTCGTTCCTGTTTTCTAGGCCTAGATGGAAATGCGGCGCATTTCTGGTCTACATACTTGAGTAGAGTGGTTGTTGAGCGTGTTGCTGAGGGAGAAAAAGCTACAACTCTTTCTGACAATCATTTCCATGCTTATTATGAGTTCCAGGCTGGCTCTAATAGCTGGGCCCGGATTGACCTGTAAATCAATCTGCTTGAACCACAACGTGGTTGACAAGTCGCACCCAAGTCATTTGCTGTGGCCCAGGACCCGAACTCGTTGGACATCGACTTTGCTGTGTTGGCCATTATCTCAAGCTCCAAACAAATCTTAGTGTCGACCGGCAATGCCAGTACTTTTCGTAAACCGGCATTTTTTAGGCCGAATTATTTTTTTTTTTTTTTTTTTTAGGGGGGGACTGGCGACCAGGTCAGGTTTAGGCTTTGCGCTAGGAATGCCAGGCTAAAATGAGCAAATACAGATTTATGAGACTGAATAATCTTGAAACGTAGCGCAAAAGGTACTCAATTAAATATTCAAGCTCTGAGATATACTTAACGAGATCAATCTAGTATTAAGCTATAATAAAGACACTTTAATGCTTTTTCTTATGCCTTGTCATATTGCACAACTTCGTAAACAACTTTCCACAAAGTGGACATGAATAGCGTTGGCGGAGCTCATTCTTTAGATGAGTTTGAGCATGTGTTTTCATGTCAGTTTGGTAACCCATCCGCGTATGACAATGTGGACAGATGACAGGCTTTTCTTGCTCTCTGATATGTGCGCTGTTATTTGTTAGACCTTTTATGCGCGATAGTATGTAAAAAAGAAATACTAACTTCCTATCTCTAGACGTTTGGAAAGACGACAGACAGTCTTGACGATTGCAATAGAACAAGCCGTTGGCAACAAATTCATCCTTTCCAGGATATGAAAGTCTCCATTCGTTATATTCCTTGCCGATTGTTTGCCCCAGCACAATTTCATCATGACTTTCCATGATGCTGTGATGCGAAGGCAAACAGTTTCCCCAGTATCCATCAGTAAAGGTATTCTGTGGAATGAATCCAGATTCATCGATCTGTGCAGGTGACTCATTCTACAGAATGGTGGAAGTGTCATCCTGTAGATCAAGGAATGGTTCATGTCGCAGTTGTAGCCTTTCTGGTGTAAACTGAACGGTTCCAGTTTCATCCGGAGCTGCCAGCTGGGGGACGGTCAAGAGCAAATTGTCGTCTTCAATCAAGTCTAGGTTCAGAAACTGCAACTGGTCATTAGGAAATAAGTTATCTTGGAACATATCAAAAGCCTCAAAGTTATGTACGTCTTGGGGTGGAATCAGGTTTCCTGAGAAGCCCGCATCGAAATCAATTCCGGGTAAACTGTAAGGAATATCGCCGACATATACTATAATGCTGTGTGTTAGCCAAATTGCTCCAGAAATTGTATTACATAGGATAGTTGCGGACTCAGGCTGGGTCGAGACGAGCCCACAGCTTGTTCGAAAGTTGTGGACTCGTCTATATCTTGGAAGTCCTGAAACGGCCAATTCATCAGCTAGCTGAGATGGACTGATGATCTGGATGTCAAGAATGCCTGAGGCTATAGCGCTCTGCTTGATTTAAGTCCTCCTCCCGTGTATCCACAAAAATTACAAACAATGTCGTCATTTAGTGGGGTTTGTAATTTCCTATCAAAGGGAGTCTACTCTTATTGGCCATCTGCAGGAGGCAGACCAATATCTCACACGAGACACACCATTAAAACTATCAAAGCAGTATAGCGTATGTGGGAGGCCGACCAAGTGACGGATAGAGCCAACAGTCTGAGACATAACAGCTGCGTTATCTGCAAGCGCGACTAACCAGGTGTTCTGCTCCCTTCTAGCATTTCCTTAATTCTTGCGTAGTTTGCATCAGCGTAAGCTGAGATGCAGCCAATTTTCAGCCCAGGATCTTACATAAGTTATCTCCCTTCGTTTTTCTTATCTTATCTGTATTGGGTAATAGATATTCTAAGCTAAAGCAAATAGTCACGCTACGTGTATTAAAACAAGTGGTTCCTGGAAAAAGGCCCCTGTCTTTATCTAAAGTACGTAAACTTGGACCAGATCTTGTGATCTAAAGAGTTATTAGTATACATCTTAGGGCCAGTACTGATATTCCCGAACTGCGGCACCGGATTATGTCGTCTTCCTTAACAATGTCTTAAGCAGAGGAGATTTCTCCAACGCCGCTAACCGCTATTGTTAGAGTTGGCACGCTTGGCTCGACAGATATCAGAGACTTATCGCCCGGCTGTATGAGGTATTGATACTTCTTTGGATCGAACAGCCCGTTCAAGGTCCACAAGTCACTGTCAAACACGACAATATCAGTTTGACAGCCTCTCGCCGCCGACTCACAACAGGACTTGCCTACTATTGTGACTGGGATAAGGGCGGTAGAGCTACGACATCAATTGGTATCGAAGACTCTGAAGAAAGTTCTATTTTTTGGGTGGCCTTAAATCAGGGTTTTGAGAAGGGAGAATTTGCTTCGGCCCATAGGATACCGACATTCTTGAGATAAACATTACGATGCCTCCAAGATGTGACCTGAGAGCCAGATCCTAGTGCTGGTTGGCTGGCCTACTAGGTAAATAATCTGGCTCGGTCCTTTGCTGCCTTTGTAACCCCTAGGATTAGGAAAGAAGCAAGCCTGCTATCGAGGATAGCAACATTATGCATTGGTCACTTGAATGGGTCTGTGACTCGCCGCGGTAATGTAACTGATACTGGTATGTCTTGTAATATAATATAAGATCTATAAGTATGGCTAATAGGCTATTAGAAGCAAGAGATCTAAAAAGATGGCTGAAACGATTCCAGTCCTGAGAAGCCTTAGGAGCCTATGATATATGCATGTTGGCCTATATCTCTCGGAATAATTGACAAATGGATATACTTCTATGACTGAGTTAAGAGGTTCTTGTTGAAGGAGGCGGTGAATTACTAGCAAAAGTCTCTAATCTAGCGAGACATTTTATAGGAAGGCTTGTGGATTATATCCGCGTTTCGAAGCATCTTGTAGAGGATGCTTTGCGCGTGAGAGAAGTCCTTGATGTATTTTAAGTGTCTGAGGTCCACGCCCTGTTATGTGTGCAGCTACTAGAAATTAATTCTCATACTAACCTGGATAGCATACTAGGAAGAATGATTTTGAAAGAGGATGAAGAGTTTTCCTACCTCTAGAAAGACCTCTCCTGCTTCAAGAGTTATATTAGATTGGAAGATCAAATCAAAGAGCAATTCCTTAAGTTACAGTCGAATCCTCCGATAGTCCACTACGAAGTTCAAGTCTTGGAGCATTTTTATAGAAACGGATTACGCTTTACAGATAACGATTGCTTTATTGGCACTAGCCAGTTTTCTTGCTTTTACTATAAGCTATACTATCAACATCACCCCTCGAGGCCAGTTAAACCTAATGCTTACGAATAGATCTACCTCAACTAAATAAAAACTATAATTAATATAAACTAAGAGTTTAAAAGGGAATTCTAATATTTAATAAAAGTAAAATATAATTATATATATAATAAGGACTAGGGTTTATATTATATATAAATTTTAATAGATATAATAATAAAGCCTAATTATATATATAATAGTAAGGACTTAACTATATATATAATAGATAAACCTAACCCTAATACCTTAGCATTAAAGAGTCTTAATTAATAGTAGCTAGCTTGTCTTATATAGTTTTATTAGACCTAGATAGACCTATTTAAAAGTAAGCAGGATAGGGTAATTATATATTATTTAATAAAGGATTTTAAAATAAGGCTTATAGGGAATTATAAGCTAGTTTCTTAACATATAATTAGATTAGCAGTAGTATATAAATAGTAATAAGCGTTATAATATTTATTTAATATATTATACTAAATGCTAACTGCCTACCCTAGAGTTTTGCCTACCCCTACCTGCTAAGATTATAAATAAAAACTAGGGTAAAAGTAATAGCAGTCCTAGTACTAATTATATAACTTTTACCAGACTTATAAAGGTGCTTTATTAAACCTAAGTATGTAATAGAGAATAAAGTTAATATAAATAGGACTTTAAAATACTAAAAGGGTGCTATTTTTAATATTAAGTAAAAGGGAAACTATTTAAGTATATATTAATAGCCTGTGCTTAATATTTTAATTAGATTTATATAAATAAAAAGATATTTTAAGATTACTAGAATAAAAAGAAAGTATAAATAGATATATATATAATATATTAAAGATACTATTAATTACAAGAAATTTACTAAGTAGTAGATTTAAAGTATAAAGAGGATAAGTTATATAAATTTCCTAATATAATAATACCTTTATATTTTAAGGCCTTTAGTTAGTAGGGATATACTTAATAGTTCTTAAAGTATTTTAATTAGTTATTTAAGACTTGCAAGGAGTATATATTATAGCTTAGTAAGGATATGTTTCTAGGAGGTAGCTAATATATAATTACTAATTATATAGCTTTTTTATTATAAAGGGATTTTTAATAAGGAAAAGAAAAAGAAATAGGATTATAATATATTATTTATTAGTATGTATTATAGGGTCTACTTATTATATAATATAGTAGTTAATATAATAGCAGTAACTCTTATTATTACTTATAAAATAAGTCTCGTCCTCTTATAATAAATATAATAAATAAGATATTAAGTAATTATATATTTATAAAAATAGTTTTACTTTAGTAATATATTAAATAAATAGATAATAGTTATAGAGGCTATAAGGGTTAAGGTAATGGGCTCTAGGCTATTATATATAAGACTTTAGTTCGGAGTAGTTAGGCATTATATAGATCTACTAGAGCTTCTTATACTAAGGCGCCTCGGTAGCTAGCCCTAATAGATGTTTATATCGTGCCTTAATACCATTATTATTGCTTTTATATACTTCCTTAGTACATTTCATTTTGGTTACTATAGTGCCGCCATAAGCGAACCTCCAAACAGCCTCCAGTGTAGTGAATTGCTGTATCCCTAGGCCAGATCTAGTGCGCGAGATTTTTTTCAGATCCGTCAAAGCAGAGACAGTTCTCCATCCGGTCATCATTCCACATAAGGTATACCCATAAGTCTAACAAATAGCCTGTTAGGATCCTTACCCATCCCCACCCCAAGTCATCATTCCACCGCAACGAGACAGCCTTAACAACATATTCACCTCTTTCTATATCCTTCAAGACCGCTTTATCAGCAAGTAGAACAAAATCGAAGAGGTAATCTGCCATACCTTGACCCTCATGAGGTCTCGTGCTCACGCGGAGTTTCTGATTGCCTCTCTCTATGACTTCAGTCTCCTTGAACTTTTCGGCGTTGCAGATCAATTCCAAATCGAAACGTGCGGCGATGGCCATCAACGTTCTGAAGGATTGTCCCGCAAGGGTTGCCGCATAGGTCTCTCCGTGAATTGACCTAGCTTGCTGGTCGCCCCTTACTACCAGACGCGCCTTGCACTTCTGAAAGCGGCCGTGCTTGTCAAACTTGTATACGTAGACCCACATGCAGTCTAGAATTTGGTTTCCTTTCGTTCGAGGGTCGTCTCGAGGAATTTCAGTCCATGATTCCATCTCGTCATGGCTCCTAAGATGCGCTGTTTCTGCTTCCTCAAATAGAATTCACATTGGATGATTGATCAAGTCTGAATGGCTTCGTGGTAAGGGTGGCATATTGTCCTCTTGTGAGGCGAATGATGTAGCCCTCGCCTGTATCGAGGCATAATTGATAGAGCAATCGCGTGTTGAAGTTGATGGGGGATATTGTTGTTATGGATGAAAACGCGCTAAGGTCGTCGCGTACGTCTCCGCCAACTCACTGAGCTCTATGGTGTCGCGGGCGTTTGACTCGCTCAGGGGCGCCGAGGCCCTTTCCAGTCCTTCTCCTCCACATGCCCGACCGCCCTCTCCGCAAGAGATATTATTCAGTCGCTCACCAATAACGTAAAGATACGATGGTCTGTGTGTCATGCCTAGTTATCGACGTCGATCCGATGGATTGGGACCTCTTCGCGTCGCTCGCTCTGGCCTCTTTGGACTACTGATTAGTTCGATCACAACAACTCATATTTCCCAGTTCCTGTTAATAGAGTCTTTCAACGTATTTATTTTCTCCCTTAATGTATTTTTCATTTGTTGTCCCCCAGATTGTCTGCCCGTGGTTTACGTTTTAGAGTTATACGATTGACATGTGAGTTCTAATCTCCACCAACTGTCATCGATGCGCTGACTAGCACAAGCCTCAGACCACGACACGAGTCAGGGAAAGTTTTAAAACGCCTGTCCAATCGATAACCCATCAACACTTGCTAGAGCTACTGTAAGAAAGCTTCACAGACTTCTAGAGACTTCTTCTGTACTTGCTACTCATCTTCCTCGCTTGGCGGGTCGTTTTGTTATGAACGATTAGTGCGCACGTACCTACTCGTCTAATACCACCAATTAGCCACACAAACTCAAAAGTTTGACTAAGCCGGTGTGCAATACTCTCAATCCTATCGGGACGCCGTTGTCATTCAGGGGTTCGAGCTATTTATCCCTGCCAGAACGTGGAGGTTCACACTAGAAGCAAATTCCTCTGGGGAGGGCGGCCCGCGGAAGTTCCCCTCGTTCCGAATCAACTGGCTTGGGCCATCCATGAATTGATTGAGGGTGGGTTATTCTCCCTTGGCCACTCTGCTGTCCATTCTCCTTGTATGTAGCTGCTAGCGAGATAAGGTCGTATTATTTGGAAAGTGGCTGCAGACAGTCAACTATCCTACGAAGGACTTCGGGTGCTGTGGGATGCCACTCTGGGGCCCTTAAGAGACATGCATGTCTCTTCAACGGTTATGGATAATTTTCTCTACTGTAAAAGCACGAACATAAGGCAGCCCGGACTGCGACATACGCATATACCCCTCTGCCGCACCAACTAACTGGAGTATTGCTACATTGCGCCAACACGGAAGATGGCAAGCGGTTTGGACAATGATGCTAAATCCCAAGGCCCGGTTCTCTTGTACCTGAATCTATGCCTTATCGTGCTATCATCCATTGTCATGATCGGGCGTCTGTACGCTCGCGGCTTCATGGCCAGGGCTCTTGGGGTTGATGACATGCTGGCGTTACTTGGCTTCGTGAGACTCCCCGCGAACTTTCCCCACTGCGTCGTTGTTGACATATTTGTGATTTCAGGCCTTGGCTGTCGCTATATCTTCCCTCGAGATCGCCTAAGTACAAAATGGATCAGGATCTATGATGAGCACACTCTCTCCCGCACAGCTAAAAGCCTTTTTCACGGTATGCGCTTATTCCAAGCATGCATGACCGGTTCATTTCTTGTTCTAGACTAATAAAGGCGACCCAGCTTTTACCTGTTGCACAAATGCTGTTTTTCCTGGCGTCTGGCTTAATTCGCCTGTCGATTCTGGCTTTCATTCCTCGTCTTAGTCGAGATCGTACGTATCCCATCCTGTGCCCTGCTCGCACAACCTGACGGTTGACATGCCGATAGGTGTCTTTATACGGTGCGTCTGGGGTATCGGCATTGTCATCGTTTCGATCACTCTAGTAGTATTTATCTTCTTCCTCCTAGAGTGCAAACCTATCGGGTATGTGTGCCTGTTTCTGTCAGTTTGTTCAGTTTATTCTCTAATACTGACTCAGCGACCTCTTTGACGGCATGAATCCTGATAGAAATTGTGTCAGCCAAAAATCGGAAGCTCATTTAATGTGGGGTCATGCTTTCATTGGGATTTTGATCGATGCCGCGCTATTCGGGCTGCCAATCTGGGTCAACCACAAAAATATGACGTTTGGTTCCAAGGCGATAAAAGTTATTCTCGTCTTCTGTGTTGGTTTGGCTGCCATCGTTATGGGAATTCTTCGACTTGGCTTCATGATAACTACTGACTTTGCCGTTGACACGTTCGTTGCCTGCCTTGGTTGTTCTGCTCCCATTATTAGCCGCTAACCCTATAATTACAGGACTTACAAAATGGCTCGAGTTGCCGCTTGGGTGACGCTTGAATTGCATGTTAGACTCTGGTGTGGCAGCTTTCCTGCTCTTCAGCCTCTGCTTCGCCTTGTTTCCTATAAGGTCGGTCTCTGAAGTCATCTCGATAGTACCAACAAGCCGACTCCTCGAGGTAACGAGACAGGAACTCGGCCTGGTGCAAGTAGATACACCAGGCAGCTTAGTGCAGTTGATCCTGATCCTGAAAGTGACGGCGCGAGTGCAAGAGCTATCGTCTCAGGCGGTGACTCGACGACAGAATTTGTGGAGCTTGGGCACGGGGATAAAGGAGGTATCAAGACGGTGACTGATGTAACTGTGAGGGTAGAAGATCAAGCATGCTCACGAGATAGGAACGAAATGGAAACAACATGGGATGCAGTTTAATCTAGGTAGCTTACCAGAGTATCGTGCTGTCTTTAAATGTTCGTAAAGATCGTGAACCGTTGTCCCCGCTGATCTACGGCCTGATTCCCTGTCACCACAAATAGGAAGCATCTTTTGTATTACGAAAGATGCGCCGAAAACTCAATTTGGAAATTTTGGGCGTTATATCCCCTATTTATATGATTCCATTGGACCTAAAAACCTGATGCCGGCATCCATTCCACTCAGCGCTCTTGGTTAATGCGTTTTTGCCAGTATCATTGTTGCACTTAGGGTGCTTAAAGGGTTAAAGTGAATATGATGAGCAGCAGCAAAATGTGTTTTTTTATTGTTCTTCAGTTGTTACTTGTGCGGGGTATTCCATCCCGCAGAGTTAAAGCATATAGGTAGATTACCAATACTGTTGTTTCCTGAGGCCGTGAAGATCATGCCTACCCTGAGACATTATGCTTTCAAGTTATCGTCGTAATAGAAGTCCTTCGGGCTGAACAAACAAAGCAGTGCTTGCATGTTGCCTTCCAATTTTCGCGCTACAGGAGAAACTAGCTGCTGGCGCTGCCTCTAATGCATCGGGAGCCATGAAAATGGGGTCCAAACCGGATAGTTGGGCAGATTTCTATAACTTTTGGCATTCTATTATGCAGTCACCTACCGAGGCAATTTTAATAACCGCGTGGCAGCATATAAGAAAAAGTATCTTCTAGATCATTCTAAAGAGGTTGTATATATAAAGAAGACTTGGCTTGAACTGTATAAGGAAAAACTTGTTAAGGCCTGGGTCGATCAGCATATACCGGTATAACTTTGTTAGGATGTTTGAGAGGCATATTAACTGTATACACTCTTTGCTTTCTGGAGGTCATTATCCCTTCCGATAATCTTAGCATAGCTTTATTTATCTATTCTAAGGCCCTTTTTGTGGAAAAGTGCTTTAAGAGTAATATTTTTCAGGAAAGAGTTGGTGGGCGACCCTAAATTCCCCATCTGCGCCCGAGTTCCTCACAGCATACGTGCTCAAAAGAACACCAAAACCATACCATTCAGACCCAACAAAGGGTCTATGAACTAGACCCCATAGTTTCTTGATATTATCCCAATTATCAAAACCTCCCTGGCAAAAGAACCAGAAAAACATTATAACCTAGACGTTCCATGGATGTCACTGCATACAAGCGAACCCGATCCATCCTTGGAGGGGGGACAGGGCTCCCCATTCTGTGCCAAGTATCACGAACCATGTGCTGCTGGTTATTGATTACATTAGGGCCAGCTTCGCAAGTGACCTTTTCGAGAAGGCAACTTTGCGGGTCGTGTTCAACGTGCGTCTGGTCAAACCGGAGGACCTACTTTATCGTGGGAAGAGAAGGTTCGGATGCGGAGGCTGAAGCTGAGGCCGACTTTGACGACGTGGATGAACTATTTAACGGCTTTTGGGCGCAAATAGTTATTCTGGACCGCAATTGTAAGCATAAGAGTTATTGATAAGTTCTCAGATGGAAGGGGCGGATGGTACTCACAGCGTCATGAAGGAATGGTATTGTGTGTTGCCAATCTCTTTCCGCACATCAACCAGAAACGACTTAACTTGATCCGGAGACCAGCCTAACGCTTGCGTAAAAACAGGCATTGTTAATGGCTCAAGAACAAGCAGCCAGTTCTGCGTCATTAGATGGCCTATGCGCTGCAACCTTTTCCCAGGATAGCACGCATTTGTCGGCGCGCCGTTTCTGGTCTCAATGATATGCTCAAAGCCTGTTTCCTGTAGCAATGGCTTAAATTCATTCGGGTAGTACAGCGTTGTACCAAAACTGCGCATTCCTTGCTCTAGCAGATCATTCCATTTGCGGAATGCGGTGCCGTCCAATGAATGATTTGGTGACTGTAGAATTGCGATCCATTCCGTAAATTCGACCCATCCTCCAGGCTTCAGGTTGTCAAAAGTCGATTGGACTAACTTCCTTTTATCCTGAATATCGCCAAGTTGTCGAATGTGAATAAAATCGAAGTTACCGCCGCCGGTGAAGTCCCAATCATGCGTAATATCCATTGCCATAAAACTACAGTTAGATCTGGTGTAAGGCGGCTGGACCGGATCAATGTCCACGGCTAGAACGGAACAGTAAGGGTGTTCTTGGGCTACCAACCAAGGCCACGATTGTTAGCTTCAATGGCCATGGCACAGAAGGACATGAACGGCAAAAAAAAAAAGACTTGCCAAATTCCTAAATACGGCAAAATGGCAAATGTCAGTAAAAGATGCAAATCATTGCATTCGTTCAATGATAAGAACTTACCAATGCCCATGCTCCAGGGCCAGTGCCGACATCAAGGACCCGCCTCGGCTTTGATGAGATAGGTGCTAAATGAAGCTGCCCTTCGAAGACATCGATGATGACGGTGTGCTGAATGACTGGCACAATCTGTCAGCAAGCACACAAGCTAAAGAGTAGCGAGGGGGTGACGCGCCCGGGGCCTCAATTCATACCATTTCTGGTTTGTTCTTGCTAAAACGAAAGCGCATTAGCACACGAATAACTAAGATGCGTGCTATCGAAGAGTATGATTGATGGGTGAAACGGGAATATACCTGGCTGTTTGGCAGCAAGCCGTAACCTGTGAATTGTTTGATTAATTCTCGGATACCAATGGCTTGTCAGAACCGAGAGACGGACGAACAGAGGATTTGTTAAACTTCTTGACGAAAGATTGAAGGAAACGTTTGGAGCGTGACCCACTGACCCGAGTGGAACTACTTTATCAAGTCAACATGAGCAAACAGATGAACCAATCAGCCAATCTACTAGTATGGTAAATGATATTCGCAGGTAATGAAGTGATACTGAACTAATAGCAGCATAATGGGTAATTCTTACCGTTCCATAGGCCGATAACTCGTCATGTATTCATCTGAAGAATCAGAAGAGTCATCTAGATCCTCCTTGGGCCGAATACTGCTTGGCTGATCAACGGCATGGTCTTCAATCGTAGGCTATTTCACAACAGTCAGAACGCCATCGAATTGCAATTTGGCTCATGGAATTCCCACATCATCAACTCCGGCTCTTGCAGCCGCTGCCGGGGAAAGCGTTTGCTGGTCCCATCCGTCTGAGCGACGTGAGCGTCCGCTCACGGGTGTGCCAGGGATACCCCCGCTCTGGTTTTGGTTTTGGCTGTCACTAGACACGCTAGAGGCATAGTTCGACGAGGAGGCGGCGGTGAGTGCTGACATCAAGGTTTGTGCAGGGGGCCTTGTTATGACTGATGACTGCGGAACTAGGGAGTCAGTGGGCCTGCCACCACTTCTCGTTGAACTTGAGTCGTGCCCATTGTCCGTTGCGTAAGCCATTTGTTGTAACGAGAGTGAAAAATAAAAGAAAGAAAGTGAGAAATGGAAAAGAAAAAAATGTCGGTAGTTAGGCCTTCGCTGATCGATCTGCTGCAGGAATTATATTCGCGGTTCCGACGTTGTCGAGTCAAGCTTATCGAGCTAATGGGTCGGAATGGATGGAGGCATGTTGCTCTTCTATAATTTCTTCCCTGCCGTTTGGTACTGAACCCATCCTTCTTCTTGTCTCGTTCTCTCAGTGATCATCTGAGTCTAGCCCTGTCCGGTTAGCTCAGATGCCTCAACGCGTCCCCACTAATAACGGATCAGGGGGATTTTCACTAGCTCTAGTGCAGTTTAGAGTTTATCACATTTTATCACATTGGTTCAGTAGCCTATCCCTGGTTGTATGTAGATCGTACGGAGGCTAGGAGGGAAAGAAAACACCGAACTCGATATCTGCGGACTTTGGCGTGAGCGAGTTCGGTATTTTCTTCCCCCCCGTAAGGAGGTTAGGCTTAAAAGCTCTTACGTGCTAGGACCGCCACTTAATTACTCCTAGAAACCCTAATAATATTAGGCTACCTAATTTGTATAGGGATCTACTATCTCCTAAGAGGTCATAAGGCTCCAACGCGGTCATGACGAGGGGCCCCGGAAACCGGCCACCCTTCCTCACTAAAACACTAAACTTTTAAATAGTTATAAAAGCTTCTAGATTAGTAATATAATTTTTTTCTAATTTTAATTATATATTTAAATAACTATTATATAATAAAAAAATACTATATAATTATATTAAATATTAATAAAAAGATATATTTACTTAAAGTTTAATAGTTAAGTCTGTTAAGGAATTACTAATATTTATTAAGAAAATCTTAACTAATTATAAATATTTATAGAAAATATAAGGAAAATAACTATTAAGTCCTAGCTTGAAAATTACTAATATTAAAAATATAAATTATTTAAATTATATTTTTAATACTTAATTTTACTAAGCCTTATTTATATATTTATAATATTAAGTTTTTTTTTTAAAATATTATCTTTTTATAGCCATAAATATTAAATAAAGTTATATAACATAATTAATTTAAATTTATTATTATATTTTAATTAATAAATTAACTTAAAAAAGTAAAATTATATAAATAAGTATTTTTATTAATTATATATTAACTTTTAATATAATAATAATATATATATTATATATATTATAAATTATTTTAAAAACTTCTTATAAATATTATAAAAATGTTTTTTTTTTTTTTTTAAGTTTATAAATTAGCCTTAAAAGGTATATTTAAGTATCTTTAAAGTCTAATATAGTTTAAATATTTATTGCCTCTATAGCTAGTAAAGCTTTATTAAGTTAAATTATTATAGTTAGCTGCCTTAATTACAGCCTAAACCTAGCTGCATATATGCCAGCTAAAAAGCCCTGCTTATCAGCTGGCCCCAACCTTCTTCCTTTAACCCACTTCAAAGGTCTTCCATCGACCCCTGCAGCATACCACGCTTCAATCATCCATCACGCTTCCGCAGTAAGTCATCCGACCCGACTTTCCCTTCTGGCCGCAACCGCTAACAGCATCACAGCTGCCCCGTCACGATGCCTGCTATCCGAAGAAGCCTGCAGGCACCCAGGCCCGACGAGCCTTATCTAACTAAAGGCCATGATGTGATCCCTAAGATTGAAGAAGCTCTTAGGCAAAATAAGGGCAAGGGGTAAAAAATTATATTAAGTTATATATTTTATTATAAAAAACTATAAATTATAAAGTATTTTAATATATTTTAATTATTTTTATAATATTTTTATTTAATTAATATTAATATTTAAATATTCTTTAATTCTTAACTTTTAAGTTTTATATATACTTATATTATATAATAAAGATTATTAAAATATAATAAACTAAAATTTTATATAAATATTCTTATATAAAAACTATATAATAGTTACTTATAGATCTTAATTAAGGCTATATAGGATAAGCTATTAAATATTTTAATTTTATTATCTATTAGTACAGGGTAGCCGGTTTCCCCATATCCGATATTAGAAGGTACTTCTACCGCCACCTAATCTATGCGGTGATAAAAGTACTAACAGTTTCCATTGTCTTAAATCGCTACATCACATACCTTACAGCCATACCTAGTCTGTTTGCCCTGCACCTGCCTCTTGTATTACCGCTGATTTCACTGAAAGAGTGCTGTTTTGGCCCTTTTGACCTTATTTGCCCTTGTCGGAAGACAAGGCAGGCTAGACACCTTGGCTTACGGCCTCGGTAGACATAGTTAATATTCCTATCTATGTGTTTTTGCCGTATTTCTTAATTATTAATGTCCTCTTTAGTCCCTAACTAATATCTCTTTTTTACTTAACTTTCTTAATATATTTATTAAATAAGGTATTTAAAATGCACTTCTGCCATTCCTCCTATAACTTATATTTCTCCTAATTTAGCTAGGGGCTATATAGTTAAAGGATATAGCTATTAATAAGTGCAACATTAAGGAGGAAGGTCTATATAAGTGCCTGCCAAGCCCCCTAACGTAGGGGTAATTATAGCTTATATATAACTTAATTAGTTGCCTTTATTAATGTGGTTTATTTTATTATTATAAGCAGCAGTAGCTATTAGGATTAGAATAAATTTAGTAATCTTTTTATTAAAAAACTGCTATATTAGCCAGGCTTATAGGTACTTTATAAATACTTTCTTCCTCTTTTTATTAGTATACTTATTGCCTTAAAAGAGGGTTATAAGAAAGAGCATATAGCTATTATCTATTTAAACTAGTTAATTAACCTAGATATAAGAGAAAGAGATAGGTTAATAAGGAAAATATATATACATTAATTTTATAAACTTATTAGGTTATCCTTTATTAAGATAGACCTAACTTTATTAAAGGCATAGTTATAATGCCTTATTTTATTAAATGCCTTATCCTCTTTAGGTCCTTAGGTATGCCACAGTTAGGACAGGCTATGCCTATGGCCCTGTATCTGTAATCATAAAGCTTACAGAGAAGAGGTGGTATTAAGAAGAGGTTATCTACAAAGACGTGATATGTCTGCTTTGGCAGTGAAACACAGAGAGAAACAACAATGGCCTGCATATTGACTAGTTGTGTGAGAGCAGCTGTCTCTTTGCTAGCTGCCTCTCTTTCTTGTGTGCTAGGGCGGCCTGTCTTTCGCCTTTGCCCCCCTTCCTAAGGCATTATAATTTAAGCCTTTAAAGTGCTAAAGCCACCTAATAAAGAAGCCTGCTTAGGCCATAACCTATATTATAAAGCCAAGGAGGGTCGATTTCCCTTTTATAATAGTTATAGCTGTTAATCTGCCTGTGTAGTAGACTATATACTTATCTACAGCAAGATAAGAGCCTAGGTAGAATAATACAGCTAATAACCTCTATATATAGTTAGACTACTTATTAATAGCTTAAAATATTTTTAAAAGAGGGATATTTATATTAATTTTAGTATAGTTAAAGGGAAAAATATAATAATAAATTAATTAAAATCTCTAATAAGGCATAAACTTAATAACTAAATATAAAGGGAATTAATCTTCTAGCTAGGGGGCCTTTTAAAAGTTTCTTAGCTTCCTTTCCTTATAAATTCTTATATAAATTAATATATTAAGCTATATATAGGTTTATATAATAGAAATCCCTTCTTAAGCTAAGAGTATTAAGTATTTATTAAGTAAATTATTCTAGCTATTAATTATATTATTTTTAAGTAAGTAATAAATCTATCTATTAGTATATTTAACCTACCTTTAAAGTAGTAATTTAGATATAAAAATCTATAAAAGATTAAGTAATATATTAGGTAAATAACTAATATAATAATTGCAAAGTTATATAATAAAAGGGCTAAAATTAAAGCTGTAGGCCTTATTGGCTGGAAAATTATTAGCCCTGGCAGGCTCTTTAGGGCCTGTGCGGGAGCCCTTGTGTTGCTTGCAGAAGCTCTTGTTATTATAGGAATCGACCTCCTGCCTTTGATCGGGATCTGAAGAGGTATTTATTAATTGAATTGCCATGAATTATATAGTAAATTGGCTATGAAAGGTTGGAAGCTGAAGCTTTTTGGTACCCCGCTCGTACTGCTGTAATAACAGGGATAAGGTGGGGCGGGGTACGGATTGCAGCCTGTTGGGCTCTGAGGAGATAGTCATTTAGACCTTTTCTATTAGTAGTGGCACCCTTAGCTCAGCCCAATGTCGCACGACTAGACGCCACCAAGGCACCCATTACCTACAACTTGATCGCCCACCTTGATATTACAAATGAACCGAAGCTTGATTGCCGCATAAACACATATTTCATCAATGAGCGAATACCAGCACGCGTAAGCTCCGCGCTGGGAGGACAGCCTATAAGTACGCGCAAGGTGTCTACCCCTCTTGGTAGATGCCGCAAGCCTTTCGTGCTGGTATTACCCCGTCAACCAATAATTCTATTGATGCGGATAAGCTGATTAGCAAGGGGTTCAAATGGAATGTCCTAATCTGACCAGTTCAGGGGGACCTAAACTTTCAAGGAGGCCAACGGATCCTAATAATATTTAGAATATGGCTCACATTCACCTTCAGTTTCGTCCTGTCCCAAAACATTGGGTTATAGTTCGAACAAATAGCCATGGCCCAGCCAGAGCACTTGTTATTAAAAGCGACTGCGTTCGCCCAGTCAGCGACAGCATGTTCTGGATACCCTACGATATGGAGGGACTTGCCTCTGCAACAATCGATCCCATGCAGCCCCACACTCAAGAGCGCAGCCTTGGCTCCTTTGCAGACCTCGAGTCATATACCCTAGACAAAACTCAGTATACTTATAGAATGTAGCCACTGACGCTCATGCAGACAGGCAATGAGTTTTTCCTGGATCAGAAACCTCCGAATATGAATGTCTTTTCCGTCTTGAACAACCTCAGAGACCTTCGCCAGGGAGTTGACATGTTAACGACCTAGGCCCCATCTTATATGGTTATCGGTTATCACTCAGATATGGATCTCGATCTATTGGTACTCAACCCAAGCCTTTCAAACGGGAGCAACCCCACAAATGAGAACATCCTTAACGCCCTGGGAGTGGTGGCCAACATAGGGATCCAGTTTCTGGCACCCCGTCCAGTTTTCGTACTTTCCATATGGATAGCGATCTGACATTACCTTCAGAAACTCCTGTTTCCACTACTGTGTGTTGCGACATGATGTGACAGCCACAACTGCGCGCAAAATTGCTCTAGCACCGGCATCTCGAATATATCTGTATCGGCTTTTACCGACATTAGCGAGTATCCGCGAAGGGTCCTCGTGATTGTGCGGAGGGCGGGGTGTGGCTTTGAACTATGATCTGAGGATTTCGGCATTAATGAGAATGCTGCATCGCCAGAAACGACAGTTGAGTCATGATATTGCTTGGATTCCACGAGCCGGCATAGATAGGGAGCGCCCTTAGGCACCGTTGCTGAACACGACGCTTAAGGGAGAGCGGCAGCTTTAGTTTGGGTGGGTGCTTACCCCGCCCTCGGTTGTTGGTAGATGAGAATGCAAGAGCGCAATCTGACCCTAAGTTGCTGGACCTCGACTATTATCGCACTTGGTCGTATTGGTCAAATTGATTCATATGTTGCGTAATCGCCCATAAGAAGATGAAGATATTAAACATCTCTACTATCTGCCGCAGATGTAATTTAGGGTACTAAGGAGGGAATATCGGCATAGAATAGCGCATGACTCGTCAGCATTTGCTTTAAAATATGAGAACTTTTAGTACGCTGCATCGCATGTCTCACGCGCCTTAATTGACAGGTTTAAAGACGTTAGAAAACTTTCTTAGTTACCCGCCATACGACCAATGAGAAGGAGATTTACTGACATTAACGGCCAACCTTGCGAAAAGCATATTAGCGGTCGGTTTGATAAATGTCATCATGCCTGCGAGGCCTGAATAAGTATACCGTACAGAGTCATGAAATTAGGTAGTGCTTGTGGGTCCGGCATTTATCCCTTGAATTGTCGAGGACCTCCCGGGCGTATCGTGCCCCACAATACCCCTGTCATCAAGAAGGTACAAGAGGGGAACCACACGATGCGTCATTGATCACCGCCTATATGAGCAGTGTAATGTAGCGATTTGTAACTCGAAAGATTGCTGGTACTTCTATCATAAGGATTAAATGGGTGGGGGATTAGGTACCTTTGATCCGATGCATTTTAATTGGTTGCCCCCCTGCCGTGGCCTGGTGGGAGGTCCTCGACAATTGAAGGGATAGTGTAGTTTTAGTCAGCCTATTAGTACCTATATTAAATTCAAGTCTTCTATTGCAACAATTCCATAGCCAAGGATTCATCCATCACCACTCCCGTAATTGTACGACCTTCCTTGGCGTCAAATCATGTTGACTTTTGGCCAAGCGAGCGAGAGCAGCCCATCAGTGGCATTCTTTTTCGCTGGTTGTATAGCAATCACCCTCTACAATGCCTTGGAAATCATTATTTTAGTCTTTGTCACCTTTAAGAGATTCTCCGGGTGGTATTTCTGGAGTCTTTTAGTCGCAAGCCTTGGCCTAATCGTCGCCACCATTGGCTTCTCGACCTACTTCTTCAAAATAACCCCACACACGTACCTTCAAAGCGCCGTTACAATTGCCGGATGGTGGGCCTTCATCGTTGGGCAATCGCTTGTCTTGTGGTCAAGACTTCATCTTGTCCTCCAGAGCCCCTGTATCCTTCGCAGTGTTCTGATAATGATTATTATCAATGCTGTCATCCTTCTCATTCCCACGACAGTCTTAGCATTCTGCTATAACATTGTCCCAGTCCCGAGGGCAGTTAAACTCGGATATAAGGTTATGGAGCCCATCCAAATCACCATATTCTGCGTCCAAGAGTTGATCATATCCGGGCTCTACATCTGGGGAACGGCTAAGATCCTGAAATACACGGCGGAAGAAAGGAAACAGCGATTGATGGCAGAACTCATCATTATGAATGTGGTTCTTATCATCATGGACTTCGTTCTTCTAGGCGTCCAATATGCAGGCTTTCGAATCCTTCAAAATATCCTTAAATACTTTGCATACAGCATAAAGTTGAAGTTCGAACTCGCAGTACTCGGCAGATTAACAAAGTTTTTCCAAGACCAGGCACTTACTTTTACTTCAAGTAAGTTTAGCATATCAGGCCCTATATATTGAAATTTAGCTAATAGTAATCAAGCATTAAATTCTGGCATTATAAGGATAATAAGCTAGCTATTATCAGACATTCCGTGTATTCGGTCTATTAATCCAGATTGGTATATTTATAATGTATTGTGTTGAATTCTACCCCTTAGAGGTTTTACTATTTCAGCTATAATCTTAAAGCATCCCTGCTTGCACGTAAGGCCCTAGCACCTGTTTAATACACCCCCCTAAACTGGCTATTATGGCTTAGTTTATATAGTCTATATTCCTATTATTAGGTTGCCTATCCTTCTAATCCCTTATTTAGCTCTTCTTTTATTAAGATATTCCTTTATTTTAATAACATCCTTTATAGTAAGTTCCTTAGTCCTTCTTTCTTAAATCCTATTTTTAATATTTACTAAGCTAACTTATATAATAAACTTCTAAAACTATTAAATAGGTAATACCTTTATAAGACTATTTATAATTATCTTAGTAATAAAAATATACTAGATTAAAATCTAATTAAGAAGTACTTCTTAATATAGCTAGTAATTATAAATATAAATATAATAAAGTTTAATTTATAAAATTATTATATTAGTATTAATTAGTTAAATAGTCTATATATTATTATATTAAATAGTAATTTCTAAATTATAAAAAGTTATATTAAGCTTTATAATTAATCTTAAAATAAATATAAACTTCTTTATAATATATATAAGTATTAGTAACTCTGCCTTTATTATAAAGGTAATTTTAATATCTTACTTATTAAAATACTATTTAATAGTCTTTTTAAATAATTTTATAATATAAGTTTATAAACTTTTCCTATTAGTAATATTATTAATAAAAGAGGTATTATTATAAATATTAAAAATATCTATTTTATTAAGTTATATTATAAGTATTTTAGTATTTCTAAAATACTATAGTAAGTAGTTTATGCCCTTATAGTGCTTCTTACCTAGGTTTATATTAAATTGGCAAAGTTAAAATATAGCAAAGGCAATATTAGGTTAAGTAATTACTATTAGGTAAAGTGCTGATCTGGTCTTATATTAGTACTGCTGTATTAATGCTGCTGATGCACGCTCTTTGTTGGGAAAATATTCCTTGGTGGTCATTGGCGTGGGGGAATTTTTTCCTCCTTGGATTCTAAAATGGTTAATGATCTTATCAACGAATGATGACTGCGAAAGCCAGATCAGGCGTTGATTTCGATCGCGAACCACCTCGATCTAAGAAACTATTATAATATATCGCCCCCACTACTTATAATATATCGCCCCTACTACTTATTATAATAGTGAATTGGCCAATTTACCTTTTTTTAATATAGGAGTTTAGCATAGTGCTATTATATTATAAATTAATTTACCTTTTTTATACCTTATAATTTACCTTTTCCTAAAGTATTAAAAAAGTCCCCCTTTTTATAATTAGATTTATATAAAAATAAAGTATATATTATATAGCTATTTAATTAGATAATAAAGTTTCTTTTTTATATTAATATTAATATTATTATTAAGATATTAATATAACCTTAAGATTAATTTAAATTTTAATATAATAAACTTTTTACTTAAGCTTATTATATTTACTTTAGTTACTTTATTAGCTTAGGCTAATTATACTTTAATACTTTATTAATTAGCAGTTTGCTTTTAACTTTTATTATTTATTTTAATTTAAACTATTTAATTAAATAAAAAATCTCTAAAAAAGTACTTTATTATTTTTATTAAGTAATATTAGACTTGCTTTTATTATCCCTTTTTATTTAATCCTATTAATTATTATTATTTATACTTTTTAATACTATTTAATTAAATAAAAAATACTTAATAAAGTACTTTATTATCTCTATTAAGTAATATTAAACTTACCTTTATTATTTAGTTTTATCTCTAATTATTTAGTATTATTTACCTTTATTTATTATTATTTAATTAAATAAAAAATATTTATAAAAGCACTTTATTACTTTTACTAAGTAATACTAGACTTCCTTTTATTCTTAGTTATTATCCTTAATTATTTATTATTATTTATGTTTATTTAGTTCTTTAAGTTATTATTATTTATACTTTTTAATATTATATAATTAAATAAGAAATCTCTAAAAAAGCACTTTATTACCTCTATTAAATAATACTAAATTTACTTTTATTATTTACTATAATATATTATTTTTAATATAAGTTTTCTTAACTTTAATATATTTTTAATAAGTTAATTAAGCTTATTAATTATTTTATTTTTAATTATTTAATAATATCTGCCTTTATTTAATTTATTTAAATAATATTATTTATACTTTTTAAAACTATATAATTAAATAAAAAATCTCTAAAAAAGCAGTTTATTATCTCTATTAAGTAATATTAAACTAGCTTTTATTATTTGCCTATATTCTTAATTATATAATATTATTTACCTTTATTTAATTTAATTTATTATTATTATTTATTATTATTTAATACTATTTAATTAAATAAAAAACATTTAAAAAAGTAATTTATTATATTTAATAAGTATTACTAGACTTGCTTTTATTATTTACCTTAATATACCCCTTTTTATATAAATTCCCTTAAATTTAATATATTTTTAATAAGCTAGTTAAGCTTATTAATTACTTTATATTTAGATATTTAGTTTTATTTGCCTTTATATAGCCCTTTAAATTAATATTATTAATATTTTTTAATACTATTTAATTAAATAAAATATCTTTAAAAAAGTATTTTATTATCTCTATTAAGTAATACTAAACTTAGTTTTATTATTTATTTTTATTTAGTTTTTATTATTATTATTATATATTCTCTTTTAGCACTATCTAATTAAATAAAAAATCTCTAAAAGAGTAGTTTATTATTTTTATTAACTAATATTTAACTTATTTTTATTATCTGCCTTTATTCTTAATTATTTACTATTATCTGCCTTTATTTAATCCCTTTTATTATTATTATCTACTATTATATATTACTATTTAATTAAATATAAAATCTTTAAATAAGTACTTTATTATCTTTATTAAGTAATATTAAACTATTATTTATTATTTATTTTTATTTTTAATTATGTAGTATTATTTACCTTAATATATTACTTTTAATATAAATTCTCTTAACTTTAATATAACGGTTTAGGTTTCCAAATAATTAAACTAGTTTATATTAGATTTTATATTTATAAAGATATAAGGCATTATATTAAGTAGTTATTAAGTTATTATATTTCTTAATAATAAAGTAATGCAGATAAGGCTTATTAATATAAAGAGGTCTTATTATTAGCTAGTAAGCTAAGTTTTATTTACTATTAAATAAATATATATATATAGTAGGTAGCTTATGGTATGCTAAGCCTGGCTTATGGTAAGTCGTGAGTCTATATCGTAAGCCGGTTCGTGAGGCTCACGGGATGTTCTGGGGTAAGGCGCGAGTTATGTTATAATTAGTAAAAGTAAGGTAGGGTATATGTAATATAAGCGCCTTTTACCGTTAGGTTATAATATTTAATATATCTTTAATAAGTTAGTAATGCTTATTAATTAATAGACTTCTTTTTATTATTTTATCCTTAACTATTTTCTATTATTTAAGTCTTTTAAATATTATTATTTACCTTTATTTAATTTTTATAAATTTTAATATTTATTCCTTTTTAAAACTATCTAATTAAATAAAAAAATATCTAAAAAAAGCATTTTATTTTTAAGCAATACTAGACTTATATCTATTATTTACCTTTATTTAATCCCTTAATATATTTTTATTTATTTCTATTTAATATTATTTAATTAAATAAAAAATATTTATAAAAGGACTTTATTATCTTTACTAAATAATATTAAACCTATTTCTATTAACTATTTTTATTTAATGTCTTTAATATACTTATAAGTTTATAAAATATTATAATATTAATTAAATTAAAAAACTTAATAAATTACCTTTATATATAACTATTTACTTTTATTTAATTTCTTAATTTTTATTATTTATTTTATCTTAATATTATATAATTAAATAAAAAACCTTAAAATATAAATTTCCTTAATATTAATATTTTTTTCTTTTTTTCCCTTACCTTTAGCCTTATATAAGGCTATTAAGCTTTTTAGCTTTTTTATTAATAATTTAAATAATAAAACCCTTATAATAAGCTATTATTATAAAAGTTAGAATTAAATAAGGTTTATTTACCTTAATAATATAATTACTGCCTTAACTAAGCAGTATTAATACTAGTTATATTTTAATAGCTAAATTAACCTTCTTCCTTTAACCTATTTAAAGGAACCTTAGTTAACCTTTATAACATACTATACCTAATCTATTTATCGCACTTCTAAAGTATATTATCTAACCTAACTTTCCCTTCTAACCCTTCTTATTAATAGCATAATAGCTATACTACCTTAATGCCTGCTATATAAAATAGCCTATAGCTATATAATTATGCCTACTATATAACTAGCTATAATCTTAATCTAGCTATTAGGCCTGCCCTAAAGGCAGCTAATAAAGAAGAACTCTATATAATATATATAATAGTTACTACTATTATAAAGAGCTTCTTATTAAGGGGCAGATCTAACCTTATTAAGGTAGCTATCTTTAATTGCAGCCTAATCTGGTTAATTAGTTATATAGAAGAGAGGCACTGTATTAGTTTAATTAATCTAAACTAGGTTAATAATAAGCTATTAGGTCTTAAAGACCTAGAAACAGCCCTAAGGGAAGGTTATCCTTTTTAGTTAGATAAGGCAGCTTTCCTTGCTGCCTTTATAAGCTTAGCTATATATAAAGAGTGGCTCCTTAGTATATCTATAAGGGCAGCCGATGTTGCCGGAGAGCTGCTCTTGAATTGGTAATAGCCTGGCTATGGTCTTGGACTATAAGAGCGTAGCTAGGATGGGGAGTCTGTGTATAGAGTTAGATAAACGCGGGGTAAAGGCGGGGTTTAGAAATTTTATTAAAGTTAGAATTAAAGGAATTATATTAAGTTTTATATAAGTTAGTTAGTAAAAGTTAAATTAACCTAAAGTTATAATTAGCTTAATTAATTAAATATATATAATAAGGCATATAACTAATTAACTTTATATAACGTAGTTCACAAGCGAGTTGGCCACCCAAGCGAGTTGGCCAGCATACTGTGCAGCTAATAATAGTTTACCCTATAGCATTCCAAAGCTTAAATAAATTAGCTAAAAATTA